ACCTTCTGGGAAACTAGTGTGGTGAGACCTGCTTTCCTCCCAACCATGACTCTGTCTGTTGTTATCCTGGCCATTTTCTCCCAGCTCAGCCCATTCGTAACCCGCATTCGCTCATCTGCTGCAAACAAATCTTTACTTTTTGTTTCTCCAATCCAGCCATCTCCTGTGTAATTTCCATGTTTCCACTGAAAGTCAAAAGTGGTGCAGAGTCCGAAATGTCCAAGCTTTTGTTGCATTCCAAAGAAAAGGCAACAAATTTACAAGCTTATACTGTACATGTTATAAAGCTATATACACATTGGTATTTAGTTGTTTTTACACACTGAAAATAAGATGTATGTATGTGTGTAATTGTAGTTTTACATCTAACACTTATTACACGCCCAGTTTTCCTCATTTCCACATTTGCGACAGATGTTTAGTGGTGCAGTTTTTTCTGCAGAGTGTCTGAATCTGACATTGTGTCTTCTTTTCAGGACCATATGAGGGAAGTAGCTTTATCGTCTTGGCTTTTGCCAGCATACAACACTGCCAGTACAAGGCTGTCTTCTGCTTTAGGTGGTCCCAGTGCATGTCTTGTACAACATGTATGCATTTATTGCTGCTAAGTCAAGCATGTTGTAGAACACGCCAACAGGACACCTTTGTGTGCAAGCACGCACCATATTGTTGGGTTGTAGATGACGTAGTATTGACATCATGAAATGCAGACGTGGAGGCAGGAAGTAAATGCAGCCCTGTTTCCTTTTGTTGATTCAGCATCAAAATGCCTAAATTCTGTGCAGTGTCTGGTTGTTGCAACCGCTCTAATCAGGAGAAATATAAAAGTTTTTTTCATGTTCCAAATGTAGTGTGTCACAAGGGAATTGATTTTTAAAAACTTACAGAAAAAAGACGACAAAAGTGGATCAACAATCTACGGCTAAAAACAGGAGGTGTGGAAATGAACAATGCAAGAGTTTGCAGTGACCACTTTCTAACAGGTAAGGATTGTATCATTCAAATCATACTTTCAAATATTTTCCTTGGTAGTTTCTTGAATTTGGGTTTACAGAAGCTAAAGAAATTATTTACAAGTAGATCCAAGAATATAGAAAGAAATAAATGTCAAAAATAATAAACACGGGTGAACCATATCTTGTTTATGCGACAGAAGAATAAAGCCTACACCAAACTGTTAGCGCCAAAAGGCCTTTTGTCAAAAGACTCTGGGTCTTGTAGAGATCAGGAATTTCATCTTTGGCTCACTTTTGATCTCGCCGAGTTCGTTTGTCTGAAAACAGCTAAACTGAGAAAATTGCGCTGGAAGTTAAATGTAGTTTTAAGTGAATTTATTACACACCAGATATTGAAACAAGACAACCACGGTAATTTCTAAGAGCTCTCAGAGAAACGGCAGGAAAATCTTAAGCCAGCCTCACCTGGAGACAGTTTGCATTCGTAGCTCCAGCCAGTCTGAATCTGATTCTCCAATCAAAAGCTGTTATACTCACTGAGACAATGCCCAGAGCTCTGCTTCTTGTTACTTCTCAAGGACGATCTGGGCTCTCCATCACCTGATTTATGGTTCTTATCTAACTGGTACTAGCTAACTATTGGAGTGCTTGTACGACTCCAATAGATCTCTATCTACTTACAGAAGTAAAACACAAGAATTAACAAATAGTTCATGCAAAAGATTAATACTGATTATAAATGATAAAAATCAAGTGATACGAACTACTCATGAAAATCACCCATACTAACAGCAAGTGGATACGCATAACAAACTTTAACTGCCTCCTCCGAGATGACATCACTCACTCCTCACATTCCACACAGGCTGTGCTGCTTTCATTCTCAAGCTACAGAGGCCATTCACACTTCATGTATTCTTACTGTTAGCAAGATATCTCACAAACAATAACACTATCATAATGAAACTTTCAGGAAATCATAAGTGAACTAGTATCTTAAACTGATTAACCTTTGGGGTCAACCCCACCTAAAATAACCATAAAATGAGGGACTACACATGAAGACTACAAAGATGGCTGCCACTCTGCCAGTCAGAGACCCAGGAAGTTACATAAATCTACAGTCTCTAGTGATAAGGATATGAGGAGAGTGGTGAGACCAGCAGAAAAAAAAAACCTCCATATCTATTTGGGACATAGGTTTCAAACGCTGCCTTACAAGAGCCAACAAAATCACTAAAGACAGCTCACGCCCACGCTAAACATAGCAAAAGGCTAACATAGCAAAATGCTTCAAAAAGTTTCAAAAGGCTAGCTAAAAGCAAAAGACAAGCTAAAAACTACAAGTAACAGAACACTACTTAAAAGCTAAACATAGAAAAGAGTAGCTAAAAGCTCAAATAGCAAAAGGACCTGTCACACTGTTTTAGACAACTAATGAAAATTTTAAAGACATTTATGCTGAAGATGGAATAAAAAAAATAAACTGGAAGCCTCTTAGGCATATGCATACTGTAATGCTAACAAATTGATCAAATTAATAACTTATTAGTTATTTAGATCTAAAAATATTACATCAGTTGGCATTAGTTGTCTAAAATATTATAATGTGACAGGACCTTAAACAAATGAAAGCTGAAAGCTGCTAATGAACATAAAAACAGAGCCAGATTACAAAGGGAATTAAAGTTCTTGAAGAAACTAAGGCAGGGCTATTCAACTAAACTGCTCCAGGGGCCACGGTTAATGCAGGCCAACAGCTGAGGGGACGACCATCCAGCAATTAAAGTTATGTAAATAAACCAAAGATATTTTACCTTTGAAATAGTTTATTTTGCTGCATTTAATCATGGATATAACACACAGAACCCTATGTAATAAATTTAGTGATAATAAAACAATATCAAAAACAAAAATAACGCATCATACGTCCTGTTTAACACAAATAATATTTTGACATCTCTGACTTGAAAACTTTTTAAACCAATTTTATTTTTACTTTCATAGTTTCATCTTCAACTGCTTGTAGTTTTAACTGTCTTGAGTATGCTTAGAAATAGTTTTTGTTGCCAAGATTATGGCATTTCTGTAGATACCAAACATGTCTATGTTTAACCAAAAGAACTTATAGTAATTAAAGCAGAAAACTGGTGGTCTGGGCTGAAGGGATGAATGAACCAATTGGCGGGCCGCATTATGATCACTCACGGGCCACATCCGGTCCGCGGGCCGCTAGTTGAATAGCCCTGAACTAAGGAGATCTAAATGTTTTTCTTGTTAGACTACACAGAATTAGTCTAAGTTAAAAGTAAGGAAAAAAGTACGAAATTTCCAAAAAAACAAAACAAAACAAAAAAAACAACAGTCACAGCACTCATGTACTGAATGAGCTGAACATTTTCATTTATGAGCTAAAATAGCTCAGGGTGCAGAGTTAGATTGCAAGAACAATGAGAAGGATAAAGAAAAGAAAAGAAAAGAAAAGAAAAGAAAAGAAAAGAAAAGAAAAGAAAAGAAAAGAAAAAAAGAAAAGTCAGAATTTAAACAAACAGATTTATTTTCAAATGTTGTTTCTGACAGGAATGTTTTTAAAGATTAACTCCAGTTTCAATGGACTCAGAGCCAGCCCTCAGAAAGACCATGTGGACCTCATGTCCTCCAGGCTGGACTGAAACTCTGTCTTATCAAACACCTGAAGGGAGAAGAAAGGACCTTCTGTGAGTATCTCTGATCACGCTCCGTTAGCTCCGGCCAAACTGGAGTCGTGACTGAAACTGGGGGCTGTGAAAGGCACGGAGGTTACCTGGCACCTGAAGGTCCAGGAAAAACCAAACACCCACCTGAGTCCAGTCGGCAGGAATGAAAACATCAAAAAACCAAACTAAACCAGAACATTTCACAGGTCATAAAGTTACTGCTATTTTACTTTAATGTTGATGGATTTATTATCAAAAATAAACAGACATTTCTTTCAGAGTAAAAGAAAAAGCTTTGGATATTTTCAAAGCTTTTAAAGATGTTAGAATAATTTATTTATTTCCTTTATTTGAATGTTACTGTCGTTAAAATACAATTCTCTCATTTGCAAAAACTACAATTATATAGAGCTAATTTAAGGCCATAAAGGTGGTTTAAAAGGTTTTTACAAATGAAAAAAAAAATCTAAATGAAAAAAAATGTTCCTATCATATTCTTTCCACAACAGTTTCATACCACAAGCCACCAAACTGCTGAACCTATGTCACTAATGATGCAACCACAATGACAAACACTCACACAGCCACAGATATACAGTAACATACCTGGACACATACTCACTCATGAATGGATGTGAATATTATGTGTGTATTTATGTATGTATGGTATGTATGTATGTTATGTATGTATGTATGTATGTATGTATGTATGTATGTATGTATGTATGTATGTATGTATGTATGTATGNATAGGCAACAGGGAAGCTGGTACGCCTCACTTGTTAGATTAGTCGCTCCGTCCCGGCTCCCACCGCCACGCGTCCAGGCCGTCAAGTCCACCCAAGGCGCTCCGTCCAAACACGAGGGACAATCCGAGGGCAGAGGGACTCCATCCACATCCACCACTCCACCGAGACACGCCGCAACAGCAGCAAGCCGGAGAAACCAGCCCAACCGGCAAGGTAGATGATATTTACCAAAGTTAGGATAACTTCTGGTCGATGCTTGTACACACGCCATAGGACACTTGTGTGCTGTTGTTTTTCAAAAATGATGTCCGTCATTTGCGTTTTTGATCTTCCGTTTATGTAGCATACAGAGTAACAGCAACACTAAAGCTGAGGTAAATTTGGTCAAAAACAGACCTGCAGATGCCTGTAAAGCCAAATGGGATGTATTTTCCTGCAGCAATACTGCACAGCTACATTCCTTTTTAGATCACAGCCACATGTCAGAGTTTGCAAATCAATACGAGACTTCAGAGCGGTTGCAATATTCATTTATGATGGTCGGCATGCAGCAATTACAGCCTCAAGTGAATCTGTCATCTGTATGATAATCGTTGTACCTTGACCGGAGGTCTGGTTCCTTCTTCGACCCTTAGTTCTCTGAGCTCCTTAGCCAGGGCACTTAAATCCTACAAGAAGAGACAAAAGAGGAAAAACAAAAACGGTAATTTAGTTTTCTATCATCACTCTCCAAACCTAAAGAGAGACACATACAGAGACAAGTAGGACAGGAAGGTTTGAAGAGGAGGACGTGTCGTTGGACAACTAATGTGTTGAGACAAATCCTGGCCTGTAAACATTTTTGTTGTCATTTTTTGAGACAAGAGTGCTGGTTTGAGAACATCTGCTTTAAGTTAACTGCTCTTAAGAAAACTTTTAGTCAGTGACAGTTTTCACTCATGAGCAAACACTAAAGAAACTAACAAAAGTGTGAGTCACCCACTTTGGATGTTATCAGTCCATTAATGTTAGCAGGTTATCAGTCCTGTAGAACGGCTTCAGACGTTCAGCTGGTTAGTATGAGGCATAAAGCCACTAAGGTTATTTATGCAATCTGGTTAATCTGAGGCATAAATCTAGGTTAAAGTAGACCAGCAGAATGTTGCCTTCCAACGTATTAGTAGGTACACAGTCTGAAGCCATTCTATGGGACGGATAACCACTGATAACATCCATTTAATGGACTGATAACACCCGAAGCAGCTGCTGACGTTATGTTGGAAGTCAGCATTTCTCCACCACTAACGATCATCCACATGCCAACTGGTTCCTCCCTGCTCCCCCCGCCTCACCGGTTCCCATCACCCCAGCCACTGGATCGGATCAAATCATGCAAACAGGGACTAGAGGAACATCACATATGGCGGGCTTACCAGCTCCTCCTGACCAGTAACCATGATAACAAAGAAACAGGAAAAAAAAACCATCAGATATTGTTCAGGTAGTTTTACACACACAACTTCCCCTGTTTAAACACATTAACTGTCACACACACATACAGTAACAATCAGGTTTGTGTGTCAAAGCCCACATTCACCATCATCATCATCATTCATCGGACCCTGTTTTATTTTATTATTTTTTTAAGAGTTGAAGGAAACAAAATGTTTGGTAACTAACTTCACCATGCCAGTAGAAGAAGATATCGAGGCAAAAGAAAACCAAGACGGGGAAAGGGGGGACTACAATGTCACTAACCTCATCTATGGCTTTCTTATAGCTCTGAAGACAGGAAAGAAAAAAAGAGTAGAAAAAAAGTGAAGAGAAGTGAAGAGAAGGCTACGATAGAAAGCGACTTTGTGTGGTTGTGTTGGACTTACTGCAGGTCTGCTGGGTCTGGCTGATTCCCGACCATCATCCTGTTTGGCTTTAGGATCCTTGCTGGCTCCAGGAGGAGATCCGCTCGGCTTCGTTTGACCTTAGAGGACAAAAACGTAGATTAGATATCAGGGGATAAAGCGACTCGACTCTGAACCTTCTGTTATGCTAGCAAAGCATCCAGTGGACCAGTGGATTATACTGAAACTCTCAGAAAGTAATCATCTACAACAAAATCTGTTTTAAGGTCAAGAAAGTTAAAGGGGACCTATTACGCAAAATTCACTTTTTAAAGGTTTTTTTACTCAACTTTGGGTATGTACTTCTTAAAAATCAGTCCTAGGACCAAAAAAATGCACCCAGGGGCATATTTACTGTAAGTAAATGTATTTTTAATGTATATTAACAACAAGTTTTATACTTCCGTCATTTTGTGATGTCACAAGCTGTACGACAACCCACCAGAACCGGTGTTCAGCCCCTTACCTAGCAACCCCCGGGTGAAACTCCACCTCCTCAGTATAAAAAGCCATCAGAGTGTTGTTGTGTAATGTGCAGCTCATTTCTCAACAAGCCTACAATAGGGCAATGGGTAGAGTGTTGGACCAGAGAGTGGGAGACCAGGGTTTGAGACCGTCATTGACACAATTTAATTATATATTTTCATTCGTTATGAACATGTTTTCTCATGTACCTCTATTGTTTAGCTTGTTAAAGCCTATTTGTTCAAGTTTCTGAGGTATTTGGACCACTGCTGCTCCCTGCTCTGGTAACAGCATGCAGAGTGAGCGCAGAGCAGAGGAGTGGAGAAAAAAAAAAGAAGCTGGGACCACGACTCTGCCTCTGGGTCTCATATGGTTTTACAACGGAGCTTCTGCTATTATTAGCCATGCTAACGTAAACGCTGGCTTTGGAGGGCGGAGTTAATGTCAACAGATTTTTGGAGGGCGTTACCAACAGAGCTCATTAACATAAACAGCTCTTCTGAACRGAAGTCAGAGCAGGCAGAACTAGAAAATGGGAAATTTTATTATCTGAGAATTATTTTGTGCATTAAATTGAATGAACATGGTCTGGATAGACCACAGACATACCATAAAAATTTCTAGGACCCATAATTGGTCTCCTTTAAGAATGGACGCCACAGCTAAGTGACCGTAACAAACACAATAACTGCTTTAACGCCGTCAATTTAACAGAAATTAAGCTACAATTTAGGGTAGTAACAGCTGAGAATTATCCCCAACACATACTCAAGAGTTTTAACGGATCGTATAAGTGCTGTTTTTAAACATGTACTGTTTACAAAACTCACGTAATGTAATTAATGTACACACATCTATGTGATTCAACTTACCAAACACAAAAATGGCAATCATTGAGCTACAATTTGATGCAGTAGTAGCAGAGAGTCACTAAAACATGTCCAAATACTTAATGTCGCAAAAAATCCTTACTTAAAACTTTGATATTAACTATTATAGTTATAACTGACAGGCTGTTAGCAAAATAGTCCATGAGCCACACATTTTTTGAAGTAATCACGGAGGTAACATCTGCAGCTGTTTAATTTATGGCGTCTGCCCTATTCAAGATGGTTGCCACAGCTGACAGTTGAACAAATAAATTTCGCAAAATTTCACAATATTGCAAGAGATCACACATAATTTACAAGGTTTGACTAAAGCACATATCTTCTTTTTGTTCTTTCAGTGAGTCATTCTCCTACGACTCACCCTGTCCTCTCCATGTCAGCTGCATCTCTTAGCATCCTTCTACCAATATAGCCACTGTCCCTCTTCTAGAAATGTTCAAACCATCTCAGTCTGGTCTCTAACGTTGTACCCCTGTCGTTTTTGAAACAACTCTTTGTTTTGGCAAATGGTTTTTTTTTTCACTAGATTTCCTTTCTTACACAACCCTCACAGTTTACCCAGGCTTCGGACCGGCACAAGAGACACACTGGCTTCTGCTCCGTATTGGCTGGTTTGACAAAAGTGGCTTTAACTATTTCATTCCTCATCATAAGGTGATCTTAGTTTACAACTCTGGCATCTTTAGGAAAGGCTAGGCCCACATGTTTACAAGTGGTTAAAAATATTGTGCCATACATGTGGAACTATTTATTATCATCAATTCTTTCAGTCAGACTGTTAACATCACTGCTACAACTGCATCTAATTGAGCTTTATTACAAAACTAGATACCGCATAGCAGTAACATAATGACCCCCGCACGCAGAAATGCACCAGAACTCAGAAGTCTTTATTCCTAATAAATGTCATGCTATAGGTGCATCCTAATTTTGTAGTGGTTTGGGTGGGGGTCTTTTTTTGGGTGTGTGTGTGTGTGGGGGGGGGTGGACCTGATGTATAGCCCCTCATCAGAGCTGAACAACAAAGGAAATCTGAAGCTCCTATGTTTAATAGTTTTTGAGCTATTACCATTTTTGTATGTCCAGATACCACTTTTTCAGATAAAGTGGGGGTCTGTGGGTGGGCACTGATTGGTGGGCCTGATGGATAGAGCTCATCAGCGCTAAACATCAAAAGAAATATGAAGCTCTTATGTTTAATAGTTTTTGAGCTATAACTATACCCCTTTTTCAGATAAATTGGGGGTCCGGG